TGGAAGGTCTTCGTGGATGGTGGATGCGAGGAAACCATTCGAATGTGGTAATTGGTCTTCACATCTGCACAGTAGATGTGAAAAAGGATTGTATAAAATGAAAGATAATTAATAAAAGTTTTTACCAGAAAACACGAAAAGACTGACATGAATAACTGGTCCTGAATGAAATCGTGATACATCCCTTTACTTCACTGTTATTCTTTTGAACGAACTTCTCCGCTTCTTCTATCTTATTATGTTCCATAATCTTCTATACACCATCCCATATTTTTGGTGCATATATAACTCCTGTACTTACAAAAAATCTCGTCCACTACGCAATCGTGCTGCTGTCAGCGTTGGTGAAGTTGCAGAAGTTCTGCAAGGGTTAGCACAATGTTTACCTTTCAGTATAGATATCCTTCCATTCTAAACAATGCCCAAAAACCATCATAGCGACTGAGAATCAGAAAATAACGAATCGCTTCTCAAAATGACGCTGTACACTGCATTCATTGACAGTTCTTCAAGACAGAGGTATTTCTGCTCCCTTCACTGGCCACACCCTCTGGGCCGCACTCTCTCCAACAGCAATAGTCTCTCGCCACGAGATGGTAAATTAGAGGAAAGTTATCCAGAAAACGTCTTCCCATGGACGACACCCTCCACAACATCTGCATTTGATAAGTTATCGATTGACTACAATATGTGCAGAAAAAACTGTACTACCAAGTGAACCCCCGGAAAGATGATAACCTCTAAAATCATACGAACTGTTCTTGTTTAATAACTCAAAATACCGACTTTCTACAAACTTCGGCATAGGTAGTTGATCTATTTATTTATATGATCTTATAAACTGATCTTCCTTTGCTGGTGCGAAGTTGGTATAGGTCTTCGCTGTCCTTGTTGTTGTAACAGTAACAATAACAGTCCCACTCGTAGCCGCCTCGCTGTGAGGAAGGGTCAAATCGCCGAAACGTCGGTCATCGACCAGCGAGAGCAACAGCAACAACAGCAACAACGACAACAACGACAACAACGACAAGGACAACGAAGACCTATAGCAGCCTCGCATCAGCTAAAGAAGATCAGCTTATAAGATTATGTAAATAAATATGTTCTTGTTTAAGTACCGCGAGGTTAATATCTCTACTTTTTTTTTAAAATACGATGGCTGACGCTTCGGTGATTTCACCTTTCTCAGAACCTAGAGGTACTATATCACACTATATTTTACTATTCAGTTGATAGCTCTTAGTTCCAGTAAAAGTCTGATTCAAAAATCGATCCAGAAATCTGCCTAGTTAAGGAAGACCACCGTTTAACTCCTTAGGTAGAATAAGGTCAACTCCATGTTACTCACTCACTATGAGCAATGAGTTTTCAGATTTCAGATCATAAGATCAACTTGAAATGTAGCGCTATATATCACGTGTGATAGTGAAACACCCTTTCTATTCATTTTTGAATTTTTGAAATTTATCCAAAAATCGTCAAAGATTTTGTGCGCTGGTATTTTGGGTTTCTGTCCCAGGGTTGTGGCTACCATCTCAAATACGTCACCGATGTACCTTTATGCTCTGTATATACTTAGGGGGGTAATTGGTCGAATTTTTGTCAATCCATCTAGGTGTTCTCTAATGCGGACTCAAAGTGGCCTACCCCTTCCGCCAATGTGTTCATCACAGCATCTCTCACAAGAGATCAGATATATTCTACCTGAACTCATGGAACCCCCTTTTCTACCGTTAAGGCAAAACATACAATCCTCCGTTTTAAGTGACGACGTAAAGTGCTAGCTGGAATTTCTCTAATCGTCACAGAGTTCTCCAGACCACTGTTTTCCATGCATCTCTTAACAGTTGTGCTCATTTCGTTTGATATGAAGGGTAGCTTTAAAGAGATCTTCCTATTTGGGTTTCGGATAGTATCGTTCTGGTTACTGTGCCTGGCTCTGCTTTTTAACCTGACCCTAGTGGCCGTTGTTTCGTAGCCATATGAGACGACACCTTGTCGTGCCAAACCTAGTGTCTCCGTTCTGTCTTCTCCTCTCTGTGCAAACGCTTTAGTTGCTCGCTACATGTTTCGAATAAGTAGTTTTTGTAGAGAGTGACAAAAGAGGTGGTGCACTAGTATGTTTTTATGGCTTAACTTTCGATACCATTTGTAGCTAGCCAATTCCGGAAAGGTGTGTTGGTAAGTCAATTGGTGTATTAATAATGACCTCAAAAGAGGTCATATTTGCCACTGTGCGCCACTATAAATGACCATTCGCGATGACATGACCGCCATAGAGGTCATGTCATCGCGAATGTGTTAATGTTAGTGTCGTCGAGTGATCGAGAAGGCTCTGATGGCTTCATCGTTGGCATAGTTCGGAACATCGGTTTTTGTTTCTAACTTGTTTGCTATGGGGTGCTTCTACTACTATCTTATCAGTAGTAAAATTTCATGGTGTTCTATAGTGACTTAGAGCTCAGGTCTCCGAGGGAAGCAGGACAACTTATCTCTTTTCAGTGACCATCAGGTTAGGCAGTAAGAGTGTACATAGACGTGGATGTCAAAGAGATTGAAGAAGAAGTCGTGAATGATCATTTTCTCCATTATCTTTGTTGATACACAGTGCTCGCGAAAGGCGATTTTTTTAATACTATAATAGAAGATTTCGGTTGCGTGGTAGATGCTCTTCTTTAGCTCTGCAACAACAGTAATGGTACTCCTTTCTGCTTAGCATCTCTTGTGGCTTCGTACCAGTAATTTGATGATTGCTTGATGTTGGTGAGACCCTATGTTGAGCTCGAGTCTTTGTGAAAATAGACTTTTCTTAGTGGTTTTTCAACACTCAGTTTTTTTCTCGTGTTGTGAACTTGTTCGAGAAACCATTTGTATTCTTCGTCAGCGATAGCTCTATGTTTCTTGGAGCCAAAGTCAGCAAGTAAACCGCAGTTTATTCCAACTGTGGAAATTTGGTTTTTTAAACGTCTGTCCTTCTCAAAAAAGTGTATTGAATTTGATGAACTAAGAATTTGATGAATCGATTCTGTGCAGGACCTTGGACAATCACGACATCGATCGGGAAAAAATTGGATTTACCATAATGAAAATTTTTTAGACACTTCTCCGGGTCCACTCTTAGTGATTAAGTCGCTAGCAAGAGGCCTATAGAAGGTATGGTCTTCTCCTTTGAACTTCTCCATGTACAAATAGAATATTTCGACCCGCTTTCGTCATAGCTCGATGTTGGTGCGTCGACGACGAAGATTGTCAAAGCCTGCATCGGTCCATACTTTTTCAACTGTAAGTATCCGACTCATGTTGCTACTCGTTCAAACGGGTCAATATTCGTAAGGGAAGTCGTGTTGAGGAGGAAACCAGTGTCGTTAACTCCCTTACTACTCGCAGTTCTTCTACGGTGTCATAAACGGCATGTCATTGGTGGTGTCTTCCCGTTTCGGCCAGTATCAAGACGTCGTTCTTAATCCTATCACCTTTAACCATTGTTTTATCAATGGACATATTGCTTTCAAACTTTAAACAATTATGGATAGTCACGTCAGTTAATGAAACTGGTATAAAGAAGAAATAACGGCCTATATAAAATAATTTCAGCTCATGTGTGGCCAGTGGTAATTCCCAAACACATATCAGTTCATAGTACACTTTATTTAACTTTTACACGAATTTGAAATTTAAGTAATATTTTCTAAAAAAATCTTAAAGCCATAAAAATCCCCTTTACGATCCTAAGAAGTACTAAACTATTTACGTATTTCAGTTTTCGAAAGAACTATCGGTAAGCATAATGACGCTAAGATATCTGCAATAGTCCGGACCGCCGGTGTCTGCGATAGGAACCAAATGTGCTATTAACCTTTCTGGATACTGACGCGTTCACCGCCACCCCATGCGAGTCCTTCGATTCGTCTGTCTCTGCCGTGCTGTCGACCTATAGGTGCTGCCAGCAACCTCTCCTCAATGGAATTCGGAAAATAGCACCTATAGGTCAATAACATGGCCAAGAGGCAGGCGAATTGATGGACTCGCATGGGGTGGCGGTGAACGCATTAGCCCCCTGGAAAGGTTAATAGCGTGCTCGGTCCACAGCGCAGACACCAGCGGTCCGGAGTCTTACAAATATCTCCATCATTATGGTTATATTTCACATAATACCTGCCATTAAAAAAGTAGACAGTAAATAAAGTGTGAAGACATTATCACCAAGCATCAAGCAACCATGAATTAGAAACGGACGGATGAATGGATGGACGAAGCTTTGCTTGAATTTTTCTCTCGGACAAAAAAACGCTGAAACCAGAAGGACGTTGGGAATTTTTTGAAAGCAAAATCGAAGCCTCACATAGGCTTCGAGCCCTCGATTACCCTTACCTGCTGCTCATGTGCTATCCAACACTCCTAACCAGATAATGATCTAAGGGGCACAAATAGGTATCGAACCCATTTAAAGTGAAGCTGCAGTTAAAATTAATTTTAACTTGAAAAACGAAAAGAAGAAAGAAAGAGACAAAGGAAAATGCAGAAAAACGTTATAACATTTGGTTTGAACGCAGTCTCAGCTTTACCTCGTCCAATACCGATTTTTGCTCCTCGGATCATTCCCGTTGACGGGTAATTGCTGATGGCACCGTCAGGGAAAAGCTGGCCGAGACAACAGTAAAGCAAGCGCTTCGGTTAGTATCGTGGATGGCACGTAAGCTCTCGGTAAGCGTAATAGCGCGTTGGAATCCCAACTAATGTTCCATGTTTTACTCAATCTCTCTTAGATCTCGCATCGTACCGCCTAAAAAGCAGGAGGAAAGTAAATGTTGAAGTATAGAAGCCAGAGTTTTTTTATTTTGATAGTTTTTGTGTTCTAATGTTGTTTGTTCTATTCGTCTACCAATGAGAAGAATACGATGCCAATTTTAAGATCTAATTGGCCCAATCGAAACGTCTTCAGTTTCTTGGTTTCTCATCTTTGACCGTTTTTCAGCATTTTTTCTGGGTTTATTTTCAGGATGCGTGTTGGACTTATTCTTTCACTGATTTCATCGTTTCAAATATTTCAACAAACAGTGATAAGTGAACTTCGTTTTGTCGATAGGAAAAGCCTCTCATTCTCGTTGGCCAGTGCATCATTTTCCCTTGGTTGGTTACTCTCCTGCGATTTTTTGACCAGTTATTCTATAGCAACCACCACCATATTGTTAACATGACTGAAAAATTAAGGTCAGTTCATCTCGACACTATTTCTGGCTTGTCAACCGATCTCAGCACGGAAAGGATTGGTGGCTGACGCATGGCTTCTTATTATTGGATCGGTTATAGCGGCCGCACCAAGGAAATTGTTTCATTCAATTTTAGCTACGATTAAGAGTAACTAAGACTGACAGATTGCAAGTCAACTGCAAAATTCTGGTTAAAATGTTAATAAACTCTACAGAACTCACTTTAGCAAAGCCCAGTCTTTTTTTGGTCAGTACATCATCTTCGGTGTCTAAAAAAATCCGCTTGTAAAAAATATTCTTTAGTTATTTGTTCTTTGTTTAATAAAAAATTTATTCCAGCTGGTCGGTGATGTGCGTAGGTCGCTTCCTAGTCGGTTGCGGAGCTGGGCTTGGTTTTGTCTGCTCGACCCTTATTCTCTACGACTCCATTCCCTACTCAGCTCGTCCATCTCATTTTCTCGTTCTCGGTCTCTCCTTTGCCTTTGCGACTGTGGTAATAAATGTTACACCCCTGATCAACATTCCAGATACCGGAATCCTCATTTTAGCATCAGTCATTAGCGCCTCTTGCGGTGAGCGATTTTCAGCATTCCGTATGAATCATACCAAGAATAGGTGAAGTGGGAATAGTTACAGTGGTCAATGATGTCTACTGACTACTGGTTACTGAAGCAAAGATTAGCGTTGATTTGCTAACCAGTAGTATGCATTACGAGACATCATTGGTGCGGTACAATTCTTTGTAACTTGTAAGGACTTAATGTTTTTAGGGATCATCTACCTACTTCTTCATCCACATCCAGGCTTTGATTCAGAAGGTTTACAAATAGAAACTTATAGAAGTCGTCCATCCAGTTTTCCTTCAACGCTGGTTTATGTGTTGATGGCTCTAAACGTAGTGCGTTTTGTTGTTTCGAAAAGTTTAACAGGTAACTTATGGCCAGAGAATAATCACCTGTATCACCTTTATCTCTCTGCTGTAGTACCGCTTCACCCAGGTATCAATAATGTATACATTCCTCACTGTTTCAACCCAAACAAGCCTACCGAGCTGCAATTGCTTGAACGACACGTAGCGTATTATATCTTTGGATAGAAGTTGTGCACTATAGCTTTTAAGATTCCTGTCTGTCTATTGTCACAGATATCTTGATGGGATTTCCCGTAGTATAGTTTTAGCTTGCTCGTGGAGTGCAACACTAATCCGTCTCCATGCACTTTCCAGTTGCTTCACTGCAGGGCTTCGGTGAACCAAACACTAAACATAGATATAACTCGTATATGGTGGTGAAGTGCGCTACTCCCCGGAAGGGACAATAGCGCGCGTTTGTTCCCCACCGCATACACCTGCGGTCCGGAGTTTTGCAAATATCTCAGCATTATATACGAGTTATATTTCGCAACATACCCTGCCATTAAAAAGAAAAAGGCAGTAAATAAAAGGGTTAAGATTGTGACTAAACATAGAGTCTGGATAAACAAAATATGCCAGCATGTGCAAGAATATTTTTAGTTACGCGGTTACAAAATATTGGGGTTGGCAATTTTCTTTCGATACAAAAGGATTGGTGAGTTCATGTGGTCAGTGACTGGTGAACACAGTAACATCGCCATCTTGGAACAACAAGGAAAAGCACACTCAATCTGGACTTTGCAAATCAGTTAGGTGAGAACAAAGATTCTCAGGCCCACCTCTCACATGAATAACTGCTGAAAGCATGCCAAGGAAGCGAACAGATGTGCTGAGGCTAATTTGTTGTGAGAAGACGAAGGATCAAAGCATAAGCGCGTAAAGTATGAGTTTCACCAGCGTAGCAATATATGGGTTCTACCTAAAGTTATCACAAGTTGCTGCATCTCTGGTGATAATTTCATGAAGAATTATCCGTGTTGAAAAGATCTATAAACCTAAGAAAGCAGCTCCCACCTTAGATTTTATTTCTCCATGCGGCGAACATTCCCTTCAGAGATGAATAAATCCATCAATGACAGGCTTTGTGTTGAAGATCATGAAAGTACCTGCAGTTATGCCTGGCTTACACATGTGCACTTTTTCGTCTTCATAAATAAACTAGTTCTTTAGAAATTTCTCAATACCCTGAATTCAAGCTTTCACTTTTTTCTTTCTATCTTTGGAATTGTCTGTGTGATAAACTTATCATCGACAATCTTATTAATCATCGAGTAAAATTGTGTACTCACTCGTAAGTTTCCATTCATTCATGGGCCTGGGACACGAAAGCGCCACAACTGTTAAATTGCTTTATTTCACATTTTTGGTCCATATGACTCGCTTCTCATATTATGCGAATCCCAGCTATTCTTTCATTCGCTTCGTTGTCTTTCATTCGTCATCTACACAGGCTCTCACATTTTATATGTGGCTTCAATTGATGCCTGAAGATTTCCCTTTCTCGTGTATGCCGCTCATTATCGAACGAGCACGACTGTCTCTGTTATCCCTGGGCTGCTCTACTGTCTCACTTTTCACTACAAGCAGTCTCCGGCCTTTGGAAATAGGAGGTGGTTTCCAAGACAACTCTGGCGGCAATTTTCCAACCACATGGCCTCAGTTTTCGGTTTGCGCGAAACAGCGGCCATGTGTGTACTGCACGGTACCTCTAACCACTGCGCTCTATTCGAGTTGCTTGCGCTGTTACTGTTTCACTTACTTGGCGACAGGTAGCTCTCAGGTCTCTGACTTTCTTCGTAGAGCCATTGGATGAAAATGAGAGAATGAACTCCTCTTTAAATCCCGTTGACGAGTGATTGATGGTGGGGCTGATCGATAGGAAACTATCTAAGAGGCAGGCGAAACGCAGGACCCGCATGGTGCTGTGGTTATCGCGTCCTTTCCCGGAAAGGATAATAGCGCGTTCGTTCCCCATCGCAGACACCTGCGGTCCAGAGTTTTGCAAATATCTCAACACCATTGTGGTTGCATTTCGCATAATATCTTGTAATAAAAAATTGTGTAAAGCAACAAATAAAAAGTGAACATTCCTCTCTACACTATGAGGTGGTGGACCTTTGGTGATGGTGGGATGGTGTGAAAGGTGCACAATGTGTCAAGAACGTGGAATCGAAGTATTACTGTATCGTTTAGAGTATTGGTGTGCCCGCAATTCTTGCTTTCTCGAAAGGTGTGTTCGAAAAGTGAGTCATTTTAAGTTGATATCTTACCGACTTCTTTTAAGGAAAAGTTTACTTTCCAGATCGTGAATAACTTTTAAAAGTGTTTTTTAACTCAGTTCTCAAAGAAAACTTTCAGATAGTGCGGAAGGTTTAGATTAACTTGGGAAAACTGCTTACAGATTTGGTCTTCAACCTACCGTTGCTTCCATGTTATCTGTAGCTTTTCCAATAGCTCAAATTGTTCTCCTTATTATTCTGTACAATTTCATCTTATACAGGTACACTGTTTTGGCTTTTGTTTATATCCGCTTTTGTTTTTCCCACTGCTATCAGCCCTACACGGCTGTTGAAATGCTCTTTATGTCATTCTTTTTCATAGGAAATTCCTGATAGTCGGTGGATACTTGGTCGCTGTATTCATTCAGGCGACTCTTCTTCTCACATCTTTCTATCCATATCTTCCGGACGAAGTAAGAATCTTATCATTTTTAAAATTCTTCCTAGTTTCGTCAGATACGATCGCCACAGTATTTCAGAACAAAACGACAGGGCTGAGCGTTCTATTCTGGTTGTTGGCGGTAATAGTCAGCGTTCCTTGTAACACAGCTCTCTGTCTTATTACAGGTTAATTATGTTTTCCACTTTCTTTCTAGTGCTTGAGGAGTAGAAAGCACACTGGTCAGAGATGCAAAAATGTAAGCGCTTGTTCGACTAGGTATCTGCCATCTACGTTTCCTATTTTTCCTAACTGGTATCAGAAACGTTCCTTCCAATTCACAAAAGTCGGTGACCACCTGTGGTGAATACCTGGGGCCGCTACAATAACGCTATTTCAGTATTCTCCAGATAATCAAAATCAAAAATCAGTCATTGAAAAGGCAAAGACTTCAAATTTGTCCCACTTCCTGAGATGTTTTTCTCTTGTACGAGATGTTGAGGGGCGCGTGTGGCGCAGTGGTTGGAGGCGTGGAATCGATCCCCGCGCTCATGGCCCACCAAGCCCTCCATTCCTCCGGGGTGGGCAAATTGGTACCGGACTTTTGTCTGAGAGGATAGCTCAATACATCGGTAGGGCACCCCGAGTCATTGTAAAGGTCAGATATGCATTCACTCACCTCCAACGATACTTAATGAAGTCGAATGCATGGCGCATCCCTCAGGGATTGATCAACGCCGAGACCTTTGGAGCTTTCACCCTGACCTTAAAAAAGAATAGGTAGTAAGTAAAAGGTTAAGATTTGATTATAACCATAGGTCCAGTTTATCTGGATTCATTACCGATTTGGGCTCCCCAGATCAATCCCGGTGACGGGTGAATGCTGATGGCAGTGTTCGATAGAACTGGCTGAGAGACAGGCGAAAAGAAGCACCCGCATGGTGAGGTGGCGAAAGCGTTAGCCCCCGAAAAGGCGAATGGCGCGTTCGTTTCCCGCTACAGACACTCGTAGAGTAATAGTATAAAAAGTCGAAATTAAATAGTTGATTAGGTTAGGGAGAAATCGAGATCTTATGCATAGTGTTAGGATTTTCCAGAGCAGTTTGCTTCTTCAAACGAACAAATGACATTCGCCAGCAGGGGTCGTTGTGTAATGTGGATACTAGCGACCATAAGGTAAGACTTACTTCTCAGTTATTTCTGCTCTTTTACAATATGGCGATTATTTATTACAACCGATTTTGTAAATTTCAGCACCGCTACCTTTTCATGGACTATGGAAAATTATGGTTTTCTGATATGTTTCGTTCCTTATGTCGTTGTTTCTACAGCTCTTCTTTTACTTCTTATTTGGATCTATCCGAAAACCGAGTTGGAGATAATCTAGTGTAATAAAATGTATTATCATGCGTATTCTCTACGTATTGTCTTCCTTTAGTATCTTTTTTTTTTTGCCGCAGCGTTTCATGATTTTATATGAATGGTTGTGAACGAAGTCGGTGCGACAATGATATCCATAGGTATCGACCGATCCCCAAAAACGACCTTTTTGACTTCACAGATCTCGGCGCTCACTAATAAAAAGCTTTTTCATAACGAAGTAAAAAAGCTTGTAGAAAGTCAGATCGGCATAGATTTCTAGATGGTTGAGTTAACACGAGGTTAGTATAAAAACTTTTATTCGGCTAACGCTTCGGTGTCATCTCTTTCTAGCAGCAGTATTGATCCCAATGGATGGTCCATAGTCGTTAGCCCTCGAGATGTGGATCTTCATAGTTCTTCGATGAGAACATCGGGCTGAATCCTGTGCATGGTGCATCGCTCGAACGGCATATTCATACTTTCCAGGACTTCTTTCACGTAGTCCGGTTATTAATTTATCACTATTCGTTTTGATTTGTTTTCATGATGGCAATACATCCTACAGTAGTCGGATTTTATAACAGCTAGTATAAACTGGAGTTAAATATTTCTAAGCTTTCTCAGACCGACCCTCTTTTGAAGCTTTCAAAATCCGACTTTCTTTTGACCTCGACATGAAAGATGAATGCGTCGTTTTCTTGTTCAGCAATCGCGAGGTTTTTAAACAGCATACATTTACTTCCTTAGAAAAACAATACAATACAACGCTAGCTGACGTTTCGGCAGTATCGCCCTCTTCAGAGCCTGGAAAGGTATGCTGATATACTCTACTAGGCCAAACGCTTCAATGACACTTACAAAAAGACGAAAAACTCTTTCGTAATTACATGATCAACAACTTCTCGAAAAACCCACCTGATTATAGTCGCATGCGGTTGACGACTACACCATCCCACATCAAAAATCGATCCGAACGTACGGGATCAGGTCGCGTATGACCGGGCATTCATCCCTGCTATTCATTGTAGGGTTTTTGGCATTGATCCAAAAAGCCTCAAGGAGTTTTCGCGCTGGTGTTTCGGGCTCCTGTGCAAGGATATTGACTTTTACTTCAGAATCGTCTCCGCTATGCTTTTGTATCCAATGCGTGCCTAGTGGGGTGCTTCGTCTTAGTTTTCGTTTGCCATTTAGGTGTTCTTTTATACGGATGCACAAAGGTCTGCCCGTTTCGCCAATATATTCATCTCCGCAATTATTACAAGAGATCAGGTATATCGTACCTGAACTCATGCAATCACCGTCCCTGCCGTAAGGGCAAATTACGCAATTTGTTGTTTCACACAGACGGTCATACAGGCGGTTGCAAACTAATTGGCAACGTAGAGTAGCCGGTGGTATTTCATCTATCGCTACCGATTCCTCTAGACTTGCCCTTCCTTAAGCATCGTTTTATAGCTACGCTTACTTCATCGCTTATTATAAAAGGCAACATAAACGGGACTTTCTTTTGGCCAAGTGTTTCGCGTGGGCGCGTCGTTCTCCTTGTAAACTTATCTCGTGGCGTTACTATTTCGTAGCCACTGGAGATGGCTATTTGCCGAGCCAAGTCGCGCGATTCTTCCTTTAGTTCCCTGGTAGTGCACACAGAGGTGGCTGTTCGAAACATGTTTCTCACAATTGCCCTCTTTGTGTGTGAAGGGTGGGAAGAAAGGAAATGAACAAGAATGTTCTTGTTACTTGGCTTTCGATACCACTTTGTCAGGTAACCGCTACTTGATAGGTTTATTTGGACGTCCAAAAACGGAAGCCAGTTTTCTCTCGGTTTCTCCCGGGTGAACTTTATGTACTCGGACTGCTCGTTCAATAATTCAAAGCATTTGTCCATCTCCTCCTGCGTAATGAAGAGGACAAAACAATCATCTACATATCTGCAGTAGAGTAGTGGCTGGAGGTCGAGAACAGGGGCTTCTATCTTAGACATAAACACAATGGCAAGGCTTGGTGCCAATCGCTGTCCCATTGCCAACCTTCTTATTTGCGCGAAATATTTCCCAGACCATCTGAAAATCGAGCAGTTTAGGCACTCCTTTAAGAGAGCCATTAGCCTGCTGGATGGACAAGCCGTGCATATTTATTCTTTCTTCATCTTCAATAAGAAGTTCGAAGATGGCTTGCATTGCGGAGTCATTCGATACGTTGGTGTACAGTGCGGTAACGTCGAAAGACTCCATCACGTACGCGTTATTGGGAGACGCGTTACGTAGACGTTCCAGGAACATTTGGGTGTTTGTGAGGTGGGCTGGAATGTGGTTAAGCAACTGGGTGAGTATCAGGCTTAAAAACCAGGTTATTCTATCCGTTGGCCCGTCTACACAGCTGATGATCGGTCTAACCTTAAATGATGACGGATTGGTTGACGCATGATCATCGGGTGATACCAACTTATGTGTTTAAATAAGTAGGTATAGGACGGGACATGTTGGTCTATCGATTTTAAAGTGCGAAATAACCGATGATTTTAAACCCGCAGCCTTTGCCACGCTGACTCATTGATTGTTTAGCTTTCGGTATTGACTTTTACATTCCTTTTCAGAGGATGGGCGATAGAGAGTAGCATCACTAAGATGTCCCTCTGTTACCTCAACATCCAGCTGGCGAGGAATAGCTACGAACTCTCCCCCTTAGCACTAACAGACAATCTTGTTGTTTTCGAGTTTATTAATTCTCTAATTTCCCGCATGCCACATTTTTGTGCGGCTGTAAGGTTAGAGATAAACTTTCTATCGCGGTAGTGATCAAGTGTCTTGAGAACGCCGCCCGAAAACACGCGGAATTTTATGTCAACTCCATTGTTAGAGTCCTGCCGTCTAAAAAACGTTTTAGGGAAAGGAGATGGTGGTAATGTCGCCACCTCTTGATTTTTATCCCTATTTGATGTTTCTTGCTTGGCCTGATTGCGGAGTCGATCTTAAAGCTCATAAAGGTTGCATGCTATCCTACGCAGGGTCGTTTTAGAAATGGGCTGTGATGGTGCAAAACTTGGGCCCAATTCTAATAGCGAGCGCGCATTCTCAGGTATTGTTATGCCCCCACGGTGACCTTAGATTTTCTTGGTACATTATCAACCCCATTTTGACTATTATCAGAAGCGTAAGGAATTCGTTTGCGGTTGTTTCTTGAAGCTGAGACGTGTGAACTACCCAAAAGATTTTCGAATTTCCGTTGTAAGGTTATTTTGGCATTAGATCTAATAAAATCGCATATCAATATTGACCCACCAACTATCCTCCTCCAAAGGCGATCCTCCAAATACAAAGCACAAAAATGTTCCTTCGTTGCACAATTTTTCATTCTGGCAAACATCTCGTTCTGCTTGCTTCGTAGTGCAGCTCGAAGTAGTTTCATTTCGATGCCTCGTACTTGTTGGCTGCCCTCGGGTTGACCGCATATCTCGTGAAGTCGCTTTCGTTTTATAAACTTCGGCACGACTCGATGTTGAAAACAGCGGCGGAGGAAGTTGATTTGCTGTCTAGCTACGACAATCTTCTGTCTTAGTGACAATGCTTCCTTCACAAGTCGAAAGTATTTTGCTGGTACATCTTGTAATAGTTCCCAGGATCGACTTTCTATTAACCTCGGCATTGGAATATGAATGTGTCGTTTTCTTGTTCAGCAATCGCGAGGTTGTTAAACAGCATACATTTACAATCTTAACTCTTTTATTTACTGCCTTTTTCTTCTTAATGGCAGGGTATGTTTCGAATTATAACTCGTATGAAATGCTGAGATATTTGCAAAACTCCGGACCACAGGTCTATGCAGTGGGAAACGAACACGCGTTGCTGTCCTTACCGGGGAGCAGCGCACTTCACCACTACACCATCCGGGTCCTTGGCTTTGCATGTCTCTCAGCTAGTTCTATCGATCTTTTTGCCATCAGTGCCATCAGCACTCACCCGTCAACGGGATTGATCTGGGGAGCCAATATATCTCAGCATTTCATACGAGCATACATTTACTTCCATAAAAACACAATACAATACAACGCTAGCTGACGTTTCGGCAGTATCGCCTTCTTCAGAGCATGGAAGGTATGCTGATATGCAATCTACTAGGCCAAACGCTTCAATGACACTTGCAAAAAGACGAAAAACTCTTTGGTAATTACATGATCAACAACTTCTCGAAAAACCCACCGCTTTTTCGTGACACTGTATGCAAAAACAAAATAAATTACTTACATTCCAGCTTTACACTTTTTGTTAGTATTTTTTTTGGCCACACAATAACTGATGTTTTTCAAGGAATTACATTCCTTTATATTAGATGGTCGGCACTCGTGTAATATTGCACAGTTTCAAATCCTTCGCAGCATAGAATCTTTTAACAGGACTCGGAACACTAAATTATTGGGATGGTCCATCGTCAATGGTCGTTCGGTCCACATTACGCTTCCCCCTCTCTTCATTCTCATGCGAAATACGACTTTGGAGGAATGGATGCTATATAGCGCCTTCTGGTAGCTACCGAAAGCTAAGATATTTGAACAGGAAACAGTTTTCATGCTTGGAAGCCTTTCTTAGGTCCAGATACAATGTGTAGGCGTCTCTTCAGCAGAATTCCTGCAAAAAACCTTCCAATTCAACTGGCTATAAGGCGAATGGCGTGATGTGGCAGTTTAAGCACATAGAGGACTATTTGCATTGAACAATTCCTTATATTCTTGTTTAGCAAGCATGAGGTATTATAATTTCTTTATTTACGCACAAGCTGACGTTTCGGCGGATTTCGTCTTCCTCAGAGCCTGGAAGGGTCAACTTGACAGCAATCCACTCGGCCAAACACCTCCATAACCAAACAGAAAAAACGCTAAACCAAGATTTCAATCACATTTAGCATAGCTCTGCACACTCACCGCTTTCTATGAGTCTTCGACTGAGTATGTCGCGTGAAGACCGACCGCACAGAATTCACATGGAAGCGTAATGTGCCCCTCCGATCAGAATAACAGGTTTATATAACATA